GACACTTTCGCACCGGCGCTGGATACGGCATTTACTGCGAAAGAACTTGAGGCAGCACTGCGAGCTTGCAGGTGGAAAAGTTCCCCTGGCCCTGATGAAATCAGCAATCAGATGCTAAAAAACCTTCCAACCAACTACATAGAATATATTTTGAGTTTTTCAACGAAATATGGATCACCAGCAAAATACCAGACATCTGGCTAACGGCATGGATAATACCAATCAAGAAACCTTCCAAACACCCAGCTCTCCTATCTTCGTATCGTCCAGTACCTTTGACATCATGCCTGTGTAAACGTATGACGAGAATGGTGCATGCCAGGCCTATGTGGTGGATCGACAAAAAGAAGTTATTCCCCCATTTCATGACTGGCTTTCGACCACGACTCTGCTCAACAGGCAGCATTCTTGATATTGTAAGTGGCATCGAGCACAATACCAATCAAGGAAGGTCAACACTGGCAGTATTTTTCGATGTCACACGGGCTTTTGATAATGTGGATCCCTCAGCAGTTCTTCGATCTCTCACAGCCATGGGAATTACTGGTCGCGCCCAAGGCTTCCTCAGCAACCTGTTGAGCCACCGAAGTCTGAAGATAAAGCTCGGATCGTCAGTCAGCACTTCTCGTTCGTGCGCTCGAGGTTTACCACAAGGAAACGTGCTATTACCACTACTCTTCAATGTCATCATGGCTGGCCTTTCAGATGCACTGCCTAAGCTTTTTGTTCCAATCAAGATTTCGCTATACGCAAATGATATTTGCACATGGGTCTCGGGTCACAGCCATAAAAACCTAGCTTCGTGACATCGCCCAGACAGACCATTCACTGTTTCCAACATTATGTTTAAAGTGTAAAACTACAACTGGCAGCTGAAAAGACCTCGTGCATCTTATTTTCGGGTCGCCATCGCCGCGGAGCTAATTAGAAGCTCCATCTCGGAACAACACAACTTCGTCAAGTCCAAAAGTATACAAGTTTCTGGGCGTTACATTCGATGCTAGATTGACTTGGAAAGATGCTGTTGTTGCTTCATTCCATTCAGCATCTATCGCTGCTAATGCCGCACGCCGAGTGGCTGGTGCATCATGGGGCAATGCCCCACGATCACTGCTTGGACTTCATTCCTCCCTTGTCCTGAGTCGGATCCTGTATATGCTACCATTTGCATCTCCCTCATCCACACAATATGAGAGGCTCGAGAGGCTCCACAGGAAATTCCGCGCTGCTCTTGCTGTACCTCAAGCCGCTAGAAACGAACCTATATAAACGGAAAGTCAAGCTGCACCTCTACGTCTGAAGGCTACTGAGAAACTTCTTATTCAGCTCCTTCGTCTTCTCGAAACGCCTGCGGGACGGAGACTCCTTCAGAGGCTACACAACAAGAGCTACTCACACTTCAAATCATGCTTTCACACCCTACAATCACTACGATGGCGCCCATCAGTTCCCGTTGTTCCAACAGCGCTGCGGCTGGCCCCTTGGATGGAAAAAGGGCCAATCTGCAGAGAGGCTATTTCAAAGTTACACTCTAAAAGCAGAACTTCACAAGCTGTGGCCAAGGCTCTCACAGAAGACCACCTTTCTGTGACCTATCCAGACTTCCTTCAAGTTTACACAGATGGCTCAGTGAATGCATCATTACGAAGCAGTTCAGCTGCTTTTGTCACCCCTGAACAGCAGTGCGAATGGAATAACGAATTTCACTGCATGGTCTCTTCGACCACAGCTGAAGTTGTTGCAATCCCAGAGGCACTCGTCGCACTAAGCCGTTACCATGTTAGAAACGTAGTGGTGATCACAGACTCCCGATCTGCTCTTCGACGACTTCTCATGTGTACCGAAACGACAACCAGCAGTGCTAGAATTACCCTCCAACATATGGAAGCAAACGGATTCGTGGTGCAGTTTCAGTGGGTCCCGTCGCACATTGGGATTAAAGTAATGAAGCTGCTGATCGGTTAGCCGCACAAACTCATCATCGGACCCCCACGCTCGAACCACCTGACGACCCTCGCCAACATAGAGCAGCTGTTCGCCGACACATTGCGTCTCTGCATCTAGATACAGATACTCACTACCCATGCATAACGAGAGGACTATCGCGCCTGGAAGCTACAACCCTGTTCAGATTACGTACAAGTGCTAGGGCACTCGCGTGGTTATACATGATGGGAGTCACGCAGTCTCCGCTTTGCTCAACGTGTGCGTTCACTGCGACCAAGATCACCTGCTTCTGGAGTGCCCAAACTTTCAACCACAACGAGATACACTTTTTCAGCGTCTCCGGGCGATCGCCGTGGCACATGCAGCTGCACATGACCTGACGTTTCCTAGCGGTTCAGGATCACACCGTGAAAAAGCGCAGCGCTTACTACTCGACTTCTTAAAATCGACGACTCTGCTTACACATTTGTGACAATCTTCTTAACCGAACGATGCTCCCGATGTAATTGCGTACTTTGGAGCGCACATAAGTTCTGAATAGGACAATATGTGTGAATGTGAATATGTATGAGTGAGGTTGTATGTGAGCAACAAAGCCAACACATAAATGTTAGGCTAACCACTTACACTCTAAAAAAAAGGTATCACCTTACACCCTTTGGTCCCATATAATACACCCCAAAACTTCATTTCGACCGTAGAGCACCCTATAGTCGAACAGACGGCACCAAATTTTACCAGGGGCTTGATAACGGTGCGATATAACTTATTAAATTGCTAAAGTAGGTATCAAAGGCAAAAGAAAGAAAATACGGAGCTTTTGCAGTACGGCCAAGAAAACTCCGATAATCTTTTTTGTAGTCAATAATACGTACATCAGCTATGTTAATAAGTTGTACCACACGGCTATCAAGCCCCTCGTAAACTTTGGGGCCGCCTGTTCGATTATGGGGCGCTGTACGTCGAATTGAAATTTTGGGTGTATTATATGGGACAATGGGTGTAATAATACACCTTTTTTTTCTGAGGGTGTACTATTAAAACGTCGTTTTCTTTTTCTGTCTCTCTCACTTGACCAGCGCACCACTATGGTCCGCTGGAGTCGCTAATATGGTTGTTGGTTTTGGAGTGATAACCCTCTTACGCGAATTAAATACACCCTATAGGAAGTATTCACTGGACGCCATATTTGTGGGTGCTGTTTAGAGCGCATGCTCAGAACAAACTCACATCAATAGGGTGCTAAGACCGGCACTCTTGATGATGAGGAATGCACGTTGCAAAAGAACTGTGGAAGCTCGCCGTCAGCACGCGCTCAGCATTCGCGCACACAGCTATGGCCGCCAGTGAATACTTCCTATTGAAAATTCCATCAAGATACGTAATTTGGGCCACTGACTGCCAGTCAGCAGCCTTGGTGGAACGTGCCCTGATGGTCCATCAGATGACGTCTGACTGCCACAGCCAAGGGAATTTCATCAACAAGGGCAACATTTATATAAGAGTAAAGCTATACGTACTCATAAATATCGCCAAATGCCTCGTCAAAACAAAATGTTCGAGAAAAAAAAAAAAGAAGGTCCACCGCGGATCGAACCTGCGTCCCCTTGCGTACAAAGCGGACACATTAACCCCTATACTATGTCATCGCTTAGGAAACTTGATTTGACCATTCGTTTTATACGAGTTTAGCGGAGTGCGTATAGCCATTTCCGTCCAAAGTGCACTCCGGAGTGCGCATAGCTTTACTCTTTATATAAAGCTCAAATTCCGATGTGGCAATCTTGGATGGCTATGAAACGGTTCACAAGCCGAGGTGGCCATCTTGCATGGCTGTGAAACGGTTCACAAATCCTTGAAATGAGTATAATTCATGACATCAAAAATCAGGAAAAGTGTGTACCCGTCCTTTGTTTTTTTTTCCCCCTTTGAAATTTGCGTTTTTTGGGCAAAAGGGACATTCGTTTACAAACGGGACCACATGCACCGTAAGCATGTTTCGAAGAAACGCCCTCGATGTCTGAACCTTTCGGGACGACCGTATACACTTTAATTCACAAAACCTATGCGACTCCGTTGTAGCTAGAGAGCAAGCATGCATGCCACGACAGACAGCCCTGGCTTCCACGGACGAACGCGAGCAGCAGACATATCTGAACCACGCTCGTGGATGCTTTTTGTCTGCACTCTTCATGAAACAATAATAATGAGGTGCGACACAGCGGTAAGGCCAATAGCCCATGCCAGATAGAAAGGTATAAACTTTCTAGCCCAAACTTCTCGGACCGAGTCAGGAGCATTTTAGTATTGCAGCGCGAGATTCCGACAATGAGCGCATCGCTCTAAAGAATACTTCGGCTGCATATGCAGTTAAGCCTTCAGCATGTTATGCAAAGCACTCGTACATCACTCGCCGTACTTCAGTTCTACTCGCCTGCCATGTAGAGTACTTTCGCGTCGTAGAACGATCCTTTTGTTCGCGCGTCTCCGGCCCAGTAGACCTGGGTCGCTAAACTAGTCAAGCACAACTTTGTGCCCAAAGTTTGCGGAACGCGCTAATTGGACTCTCGCGACGCTGACGTCGCGCCGAGTGAGGTGTCAATCATTCGAACGCTCATTTCTTTGAGAGAGGCAGAATGTAGCGAAGTTCATCGAGGCGCGTGTGCAGCGCGTGAGGGGCGCTAGGAGCCCGCTGATGGAACGGCTTCGCCGATGACGTAGCGCCCGTTTGTCCCTAGATCCCTATGCCAAGCTAAAATCAATACTTTGCAGATTGTTCCTAGGCGACCGGCTGACGCTCCAAATCCCTCCAAAGTTTGTGTTAAAAAGAAACCTCGTTTGTCGAAGTTGTCGCTGACGTCAAAGTGACGTTTCCGAACTTTGCGAGAGCCGTGGTTTGAGCTCGAGATCTTCGCTTCGGATCGAGGCGAAGTTAAACTTTGTCAACATGGCGGTGCCGTATGCTGCGGCCGAGCTTATCTTCCGCCATAGTCGGCGTCGCTACCGAGACCACCGGGGACGCCTTTCAACTCCCCGACGACGACTTTCGGCGACAGTACTGGCTACAGGAAGCCGTTAAAGTGCATTCCCACCGGCGATGCGATCTAGTCGCGCGATGCTACTAGATCGCATCGCGCGATGTTCAGATGTTCACACCGGCGCGAGCGATGAGCGAGTTGCTCCATGGTTGCTTCTCGAAAACTCTCGCCTGCTCTCGCTCTGAACGATATTTCTCGGGAGCCGTCGCCGGTCTGCTGTTCCCGCCATCCCGTTCTTTCATTTTCGTTTTCGCGTAGACTTTCGCGTACTCTTGCGACCATGGACGACCGGCTAAGCGAAGAGGAGGAAGTTGTTGCAATCTTAGCTTCTGTGTCTGCGTTGACGGCGTCGACGGTGGCAAGGCAGCAGAGAAAAAAGCGGCGATGGTGGGTGCGCCCTAGCCTGCGTTCTCGGGAAGTCGCTGGCCACGCAGGTCGGCTCCTTCCCGAGCTCGGAGCGCGGGACGTGGAATATTACCGCGAGTGAGTTTTTCTCTTTACTTCGTGTTAACTACCTGTCACATGCTTACATTCGTATTTTCTTTTAGCTTCCTTAGAATGCCGCCGCAGGCGTTCGACACCCTCCTAGGGCTGTTGACTGAGAGAATAGGGAAAAAAGACACCAACTACCGGAAGGCGATTTCTGCGGCTGATCGTTTGGCTTTGACCCTGAGGTAATTCGTCAATACAGAAAAAAAAAAGAAAGAAAGAAAGCCACTTTAGCGGCTATATGAGAGCTGATGTGCGGCAGAAACAAGCCGCTGCGTCTGTGCCGCAAGCGCTCAGTGATTTGTTTCACCTGTTGCCTTTTGCGCCCCTTCACAGCAGCCTTCATGAGAAGGACGTTTCTGGGAGTTATCATTCATCGTGCTCACATGGGAACCTCATCTATAGCTGACCGAAGTGAAAAGCTGGGCTGTCTCATTAATATCACCAGAATTACTTGCGTAACGATTTTCCCTCTCGACTTTTCTAACACACTACAGTGCACTTTTTGTGGGTCTACATTAATACACAATGTGTGAATAGCGGAGGTAACATTTGGATGTTCCCTTTACAAACTTGTACTAATACAACGGCTTTTCCATGTGGAAATAATTACTGTATACATGTTCAGTGAGTCAGGTTATGAACTGCTTGTTTCATGCATTACATTTGCCTTCGCAGGTTCCTCGCAGCCGGCCTCACGTTGAGGATGGTGACGTTCAACTTTCTGGTGGGCAGGTCAACTGCATGCCGCGTGGTGTCCGACGTCTGCGATGCACTATGGGACATACTACAGCCCGTGTACCTGACCTGCCCGCAGACAGCTGACGAGTGGCTCAGGGTATGTTACGAGGTCTTGCTACGATCACGAGCCTAAAAGCATTAAGTGTATTTGGCCTCTGCAGACCAACGAGAGATGCTTAAGGTGGGGCAGTGAAAGGTGACTATCATGGAGTGTACAGTCATAGACAACATAAGTTGAAACGACCGAGCACATCAGAGGTACCAGCTGGCCCTGCCCCGAGACAAGGGTGCAAAAAGAAACCTGTAAACGAGAGTGCTGCTTAACTCAACGTGATCATGCAACGAATGTGCTTTCGCTGGTGCCAATATTACATGCCAATTTATAACTAAGTTAGCGGAAAGCACGGGCCGCTTCGGTGGCTCCGAGGCAAAGCGCCGGCCTACGGATCCCCAGGTGGTGGCTTTAAATCCCGGCCGATGTGCCCGCATTCTGACAGAGGCTTATTGCGGAGAAGGCGCTGTGTAACCGAGCTTTCGGTTGCACGTCAAAAGATCTCCAGGCGGTCCAAATTAATCCTCAATCCTCCGCTGGGGCATGCCAGTCGCCCGTCATTGGTTTGGCTCGTAAAACCCCCAAATATGACTTTGGAAAGCCCGGGTTAGTCCTAATAAGAAATGCAAGGCGCATCAAATTAAACTCCAAACACATTGGAGGAACATGCCGAATCACAGTGGCGCAGCACTCTTGTCCGCACTCGCCGTGACTGTACTAAGGTACAACTGTAAAGAAACATTTCTTATACAGTTATTTCAAGTTGGAGAAGGCCAAAGTGTTTGCTAGCCTACCAGAGTATATGTGGTATACTGCAACTGTTCAAGTCTGGCAATGGAAAATCTAGAAAACACACGCAGACCTGTATGGGTGAAAAACAGCAAATGCTTTTTGTGGTCACGCTTACCATTCCTGTCACGATTCGCTTGCATTGTTTATTTCTGTACCCTTAGAAAAGAAAAAGAAAACCAGGAGAGATGAGCATGCTTACTATGTATTTCTTGGAAAAGTGAACTTTTTTTTAAATCTCGTTATGCAGGTTGCTGCCGATTTTGAGGAACGTTGGAATTTTCCTCACAGCCTGGGAGCCATTGACGGGAAGCATGTTACTGTAGAATGCCCCCCAAAATCTGGCAGCCTTGACAGAAATTATAAAGGCACGTTCAGCAAATCCATGCTTGCCGTTAGTGACGCACATTATAGGTAAGTACACCTCTCCATTTTGCAACTTTAGGTAATATCAGTCAGCATCATCTGTACCTCTTTATTAAGAGGTTCAGGACAACTATTGTGTTGTTTAAGAATTGTGCACTGCTTCTTTTAAGTTACTCAATTCTTGTGCACCATACACCATGAGTGACAATTTGGGTATCCCTGCTAAAAATTCCCATTACATCCAATTGGACTTCCAGCAGGTATTAATCAGAACCACTTGGTTTTAGTAGGTTCCAGTAGGAAGCACTCTGGCGAGTGGGTCTCACCAATTTGAATTACTTTTCCACTTGAAACCTCAATGGGTTCCAATTGGTTCCTGTTAGTTCTCAATGGAGTGTCCAATTTGTTGTCCAGAAACCTAATTGGTACCAACGGAAAAATTACAATTGGAACCTGATGGGAATTTTTAAGTGGGATGCGCTGCGATGCCTCCTGGAATGAAGAAGTGTCACCTGCTAAGCACATATAGAATAGACTCCCAGGTGCATTTCGAGGGTTACGTTCACTGATCAAAGTAAAGAAAGCATGTTCACTAAAATAGGACCACAATCTACCTTGCCTTAACTGTCACTGTGCATGATCACACTCGGTCCATTTCTTTTTACTATGCCAAAGGTTTCACATAAAAAAAAACACAGCAAGGATGTGTGGGTCATTTCATGCAGTTTGCAGAGAATAGGGCAAAGCAAAAGATAGACCTTAACATAAACGACAAACTGAAGCAAGTCCTTTTTATTTCCTTCTATTTTTGTTTAGGTTTCTGTATGTAGAACTTGGCCATCATGGGAGCGAGAGCGACGGAGGCATATTCTCAAGGTGCAAGCTCCAAGAGCGGCTGCTACAAAGCCAGATGGGCATGCCACAAGACCAGAACGTTGGGATAGAGGGTCCTCTCCCTTATATTGTTGGTGACGAGGCATTTCCTCTAAAAACGTACATGATGCGGCCCTTTTCAAGAAAAGGTAAGTGCGCTGCATTTTGGAATTTTAATTTTGCTTCAAAGAAGGACCATATTAGCGACTGAAAGCAACGAAATTGCTAATGCACCTTTTATATTACGAGTGTTGATCGATCCAAAGTGCATTTTCATTTTGTATAGACAATTTCGTTTCAGTCAAAACAGAAGTGGGACCACATCCTCACAATCGTAGAGGTCATGTAATAAACCTAGAAAAAAAAAGGTCTGCCACCTCCCCATGCATTTCATTTGCCACCGTTTTCTGCAGGTATGCCCCGCATGCGCGTGGCTTACAGGCAGATAAACTATGGTCCTGGTGCACAGAATATGGTACGTATAGGCCTTAGGTACAAGCAGGAATGGGCAGTATTTCAAATACAAGTATTTGAAATACGTATTTCAAATACTTTGTGTATTTTGCACTTTTAGTTAATTAAAAATTGGGTAATGTATTTGACGTGTGCATTTAAATACTAAAACGTGAGTATTTCAAATACAATTGTAATTAAATACAATTTTGTGGGTGAAAATACATCCCTCAAATTTATTGTCACTGTCCAGAGTAGGAAGAAAACTACGTTCTGCACCGAATGCAGTGTCTCTCAATCAAGCACAAGCGTTTATTGACTTTCTAATTACGGTGCTAGTACAGGGCAGGAATAGTGACGAAATCGACGTTCACCGGCAGACTGGCTAACTAAGTGCCTGTGACAACTTGTGGTGCTCTCCAGCCTCATTTCCATCCATATTTTTGCCTGGAACATTCTAAATGTGCGGGTCGTCCAAATTTTTGTAACTGGTGCGAGTTGCAACAGTAAAAAAATTCTCTAGCTAGTGCTGCGCGTCTTGGTCGTCTCGGTTCTTTGTTGGTCTATACCAAAATGTAATCGACAAAAAAAGCTGCTTGAAGCTCTGCACTTTTTCACCTATTACGTCCAAGCTGATTACATTTTTTTTGCGGTTATATTTCTGTTACGTTACTAGAGCTTCGCACACTAACTCCCGAGTGTGCGATGCAAAATTGAAATGAGATACCCAGAAACCCGTTGCAGGTGCCCTGAAGTGGCTGACGCAAATCTTGAGCAATGTATTTGGAAAAGTATTTGAAGGAGACCAAATACATTTGGTTGTATTTGTATCTTGTACTTAAATGCTTTTTTGGAAATGTAATTAAATACATTTTTGACAAAGTATTTTGTATTTGTATTTCGATGCATATTTGCATGTATTTTGCCCATCCCTGGGTACAAGCATACGAGCACTTACATTATTGCAGATGTTAAAGGGATGGTGAACCGAAATTTGAAAACAATGCAGGAGCTGTAGGCGGGACAATGCAATCCCTACAACACTACTCGTAAGGCGATATCTCAAATTGACGGCCATATTTTTGGAAAAAAAGGTTCAGACTGAACCAGGCCGACAAGGCGCGTGACATCAAGATATCTCGTTTCCTCCTCTCTTCGTTTCACCCTCTCAAGGCGGCGAAGCGGAGAGGATGTGAGGCTGTTCCCTCTCCTTTTCGAAGAAACAAGATGTAAACATATCTGTCAAATGCGCTTCCTTTTCTTGAAAAATACGGTCATTCATTCGATATATCGTATGAGTGGTGTTTTGATGCTTCTGGCATCCTGTTGCGCGCTTTTGCCGCCATGCTTTGTGGAATCCATATTTCGGTTCAGCATCCCTTTAACAGTGAATTGGGGGACACAAAGGCTTTCAGCTAGGTTGGTACTCCACATTAGCCCTTTTCACCACGTAGTACATAGCTTTGATGATAGCCTTTCTTTTTTCAAAGTTAAACCAGGCATCCGCATAGGCTTAGTTGTGCTAACTTTGGCGTGCTGTTTACAATATGGTTAACCTATCATAGCCATAAATGCTTTTGCAAACACAAATTATTGCAGAGCAGTAACATTGCACTACTCATGTTACTTTATACAGCCTTGCAGAAAGACCCAGCCCCACCTCCAGGCGCAGACCCGGACGCAGCTGCAGCCGCACGGAAGGCTGAAGTACGCGAACAAAGGATCTTCAACTACAGGCTAAGTAGAGCCCGCAGGGTGGTAGAAACTGCCTTTGGGATTTTGGCATAGAAGTGGAGGATCCTGCGACGACCGTTCAGGGCCAACGACCAAAACATTAACAGGATTATTGCGGCATGCGTTGCACTCCATAATTTTATGCTGAAGCAGTCCGCAGTCTCCGCTGCATCCTACTGCCCAGTAGGTTTGGCGGACTCTGAGGACTGGGAAGGACGGGTCAAAGATGGAAGCTGGAGGTCAGACAAGCCAAAAGGAGGTGCCTTGGCGGCCACACCACCAGTCGGCTGCAACCCGAACCAGTATGTGGGTGATTCTTGCTCGACCATAGATAATGATAGAAAGGGAATGGAATGATCTACACTCCGTTTCACAATAACTTGGCGAACTGTGGAGGCTACGGCCACCCATTAAGAGTGTCGGAGCGAGGCACGTGACACCTCGTCACGGGTTGTATCAGTGCGCTCAATGTGAGGCGAGAAACCAGCTGTTGTCTGCTGCAAAACCAACCAACCAACTTCAAATTAACGTGCCTCACCGCAACATATTGCCGCCCACTACAATAGCAAGCTCCTTCAGAACGGTTCATAAGACAACCATACGCTCAATTTACCCATGAATTTGTGACGGGTGCTAATGCCAGGGCCCAGTGCAATGTTATGAGCTGAAACGGTTGATTATACGGCTGCAATCGCCAATGGCCATGGCGCTACAAGGCCCCCGTGGCCTCAACCATGGAGTGTTATCATGTGCCTTTCTCAGGCACAGTTATTGGGTCGCGAGGGCCACAGCCTCCACAGTTCACCAAGTGATTGTGAAAGCAAGTATAAAACTCGTTTATTTTCGCAGAATTATGGTATCAGAGACAAGATATTCCTCCTTGTCTCACAGTTACACAAAATCTTCCACATGCCTCCCTTTCTTGCTGTTAAATTCTCAGAAATGCAAATGGTTTGACTACTGGTGTTTATAGTGTACTGCAGGCTGTTAACAATAATATAATTAAGGGTTTTCATGACTCGCAACATCATTAGCAGAATGATCTAGAAGAAACAATATGGTGTAATGATGTTTCCTTCAAGGTATGCTCGAACCATGCGCAGCAAGCTCTCGCACCACTTTCTGAACGCCGGCGCAGTCACTTGGCAGGACGACAGGATCTCCTTTACCCCAAAGTAAAGAAAAGGTACACTGAATTCTACAATAATCTTTATTTCACAAAGGTAACTTTTGTCTCATGTTCCCTTTCCTGCGAAGTACAAGGTAACAATAATCATATTCTTGAGTAACAAGGGGTTTCAAAACAAGCTTAGTTAAAAGAAAACATTCCTATATATGCAGTCAAAATCTTTAACAAGTAAAATAGTAAACGCTGCATCTGTTATCTTTCGGAGTAGATATTCACATCTTCAAGACACTTCCCCTATTCCCCCACCAAGGTGTGGAATTGGTTCTGGGTTTCCGCTGCCTCAACTGTTCTTCTTGATACCAGATTATGCACATCGCCAGAAAAGAAATTGCCCTCGAGGTTTGTGTCGCTGAGAGTGTGCTACCAAGCATCAAAATATTGCACTGAGATATTGCAGACAGCCACATGGCTGCAAAGGAACTCTGGAACAATGTTGCAACATCAGGATTAAAGTTTTCCTTGTCACCGCAAGAAAAAGCATGCTTCGCACATAATTCATATGCTGCATATAGTAGTTCTTACATAATATCTTTGTTGCTATAAAAATTGTGCTTTATGTGTTTGCAACAGATATTTTAATAAATAACAACTACTCTTATTAAGTTGACATTTATCACCACATAAAGAGGGAAATTGATAATGTCTGATGAGCCTTCAGTTAGGGTTATGCTTGAACTCCGCTCAGCAGAGCTCACGTGTCAGAAAAAAAAAATACAAATTGCTTGAAACTGTGAAACTGATCTTTCATAAGATATACACTTTGTAGAGTTTATTTTGGCGAGAAAGCTTTTGTACGAGATAATCTTATATTTTTCCTTGCTATCAAGCTTTCTCGCCCAAATAAGCCCCACAAAGTCCCCGAAAATTTTGCAAATATTAGGCTTAGTAGACTCTTTTTTTCATAGGATGCAAGTAACGTAATTTTCTCAAACTTTCTAATAATATCTGGGACGGCCATTGTTACATTGTGGTGCAATTTTAGTTTTCTGCGATGTATAGATTTTTTATGCGGGCAGAAAAGCCGGGTTTTCTTTTCTCGATCGGAATCCAGACTTCAGAAACTGTGATTACTTATACCAAATCACTACACTCCTTCTCGACATCCCACATAGCATTTTCGAGCTGGTGCATGATGTCCTGCGCCTTCGCTTTGGGTAGCGCCCTAAGCCGGCAGTCCAAGCGCATACAGAAATAAAAAATGTCGTCTTTTTTAACTTCCGTTCGGTGCGCTCTTAATGCACTCAGGTGTCCGAGACAGGCCTCTGCCAGGTCTTGTTGCCTCTTGTCTCCTGCATCCCTGCAAAAGGAATATTTACTTTTGCAACATGTAACTGAAGATGCAAAATCGTTGATATCATGCATTCCCAAAATGCAACTTGCAGTTCGCTTCCTTACGTAAGAATGGTATGTATCAATTGTAATAAAGACGGAAAACACATAGCGTGACAATGCATACCTTTTGCGCCGCTTCTGTGACATCTGCAGCCTGTAGAAAGAACCAGTCATTTTCTGTTACACAAGAAAATGCTTCTCTCAAACATGTTTGTTTCAGCCTTGTTAAAACAAAAAATTATACCTACCCATCAGCTGCTTGGTCCTCAGATGGTGATGGAGGCGTCATATCTCTGGGGGAGCTACAGGTGCAAGAGCAACATTATTAGAGCATAATTAATACTAAATTGTTTTTAGATTTTTAGTTCAACTTACGGCATAGGGGCAAGAGTAGTTTGGTGATTTTAAATAAAATCTTCCAATTTAATAGTAGTTATGACTTTAATTAATATGATTATTTAAGAACTCAAAACATGTTACTGAAGACGTAAAGTGTGTATGCACACCAGCATGGTAAATGCTGCAGTTCTAACCAATACTCCGTAGAGTGCATATCATGTTGGTTATTGAGGCGATCTGGATTTTCTCTTACTCATGACCAGGTGACTCATCAAAGCCATGGCCTGCGGTTGAGGCAACTGCCAGTGGTGCTTGTGGCAGCTGGCTGCTTGCTGAACTGCAATTCCACCGATTAATGTTTAATGTGTAGTGTTCACTCTTTTTGCCCTTCTTGCTTGCATCATCCTTGTTTTCTATGATTCATCTAAGGTAATAATCGTACTCGCTTCTTTGCACAAGTTTTCCCTTGAAATATTTAATTATAAAAGAAATTTCCAGCCATTGTGGCACTGGTGCTGACGTTTATTGCTTCCGTGTGTGTTCTTCGAGTTCTAGATTTTGTGGTAATGTCCTTTGGTTGTGTGTTTTGCATGTTTGAGTTTGCATATCTTTTTTTTTTTCATCTCATTCGCATGTTAAATATTCTTGAAATTAATAACTTATGAAAGCATTATTGTGAAGAGGTTGATAATAAATGTTACGAGAATTTCCACTTCATGACAGTCATTAATGTTCTTGTGTGCACCACAAGAAGTACAAGAGACAGGCCCCAGCCACAAAAATATTGGCTCCACAGCACAAGTTTCTGCTCTAGAATGCAGTCTGCAATAACGGAAATCTGACAATGGCTAAACGCCAGCAGAATAATGCTGCTGGAAGAAGCACTCGCTTTTTTAACGCAGGGATGCAAGAATGCCAAGTTAGCCACCTCGGTGGCTCCGAGGCAAAGTGCCAGCCTACGGATTCCCAGTTTGAGGGTTTGATTCCCAGTCATGTTAATTGCTGCTTACCCTGAGCTTGCATCTTCATACTGCAAGCTGCAGTAGACACTGGGGGAAAATGCATATAGTTATGTAGAGGCAATTGCACATTGACAACCGAAATGAACACATGAATCTCTGCTATCAGATATTTTCACAGCATGCATCAAAAAGCACGGATTGCTAATACTTACAGTGCAGGCTCTGACCGTGGCTCCACTATTGCCATCATTGCTTCCCAGTGTGGCCACTTTAATAATGGAATGTCTGAGAGACCCGCACCGCTTTTTGATTTTGTTTTGATAGTCCTCTTTATGTTGCCGTAGACGTCTTTCAAGTTTTTAAATTTTTGTTGTACGTTGAATGCTGAAACAAAAAACGTGACATTGCTGCTTCAAGGAGGTATATTATTTTCACAATGATGTGTAAACTGTCTGAAACCTGATCATGGTAAATTTATCAATGGTCCGTGCAGTAGTTTAAGTTTTATAAACATGTAATGGCTAACAGAAATAATTTTATGCGCCCCTGCATGCTGGGAAATACTGATGAAAATGTATTTCCAATACAAGGTAACCTCAGAGGTGGGTCAGCCTTTAAATGGACTGCATAAAATGGTTTCTTAACAAATCCCAATGTAATTTAGCATGCAGATGTAATAGTATGGTGCATTTTCTAAATAAAATTTTGAAAAGACTACCTCAGTAAAGAATAAAAACAAAAACTGTTTTTCCTATACTTTCCATGTAAACTTGAAATAATGTTTTGGGCCTCTGTGGTGTTAATTTTGGCAAAATAAAGGGAATACTAAATAAGCCAGCTTCATTTGCGTTCCATTCCACCCATTTTTCAGTCGTAATAAACGTGACCTAGAATAATGTATGGTTTCGGGGAAAAAAGACTGCATTGTTTTCCATTGGAAAAAGCACTGTTCTTGGGCTTCACTGTACTAAATCCTAGAATGATAGGTTAAAACACCGATTTATGCGCTCCCGCTGGCGGGTGGTCCCGTCTTCGTGAACACCCGGTAGATCGCGGGACGACAGGCCTTTGGAATAGCTGCGTCATAAAAGCTTGCCATTTAAAAAAAACAACAAAAAAAAAACACCAACCTAACATGCAACATACATGACACTCTCCTGTAGCGGCTGAACTCTTTGGTGACGAGAGGCGCCAGAAGTGCAATAATCATTTCAATATTGGCCTGGGTCCCACGGAAACGTAAAGTGAAAGGTGAGCGCGAAGTACGTACCTGTCATGCCGAAAATTGCAGCGATGGCCTTCCACGCCTGCTCTTTTTTGTCCCGATCTTTATGATCGGGATCCTGCTTATCGTAGAGGTATGGATATTCTCTGATAGCGTTGATTAGGGCCTCTGGGCAGAACTCTGTGGGGGCCGCCGACATGTTTGTACCTCCCGCCCGAATGCACTGACCCCACTTTCCCAACTTTTCCGCGTTTCCCTCAAAAGGAAACGCCGGATGGAAACAAACTTCCGGGGCACCGCTGATTGGCTCAGCCGCTCCGCGACGAGATCGCATCGCAAAAAAGTCGGGTCGAGTAGCGACTGCACAAATCGCGTCGCTTTTTGCCCGCGATGGTCGCTTTTGCGATGAAAGTTATCGCGCGACAAGATTGCATCGCCGGTGGGAACGCGCCTTTACGCGTTGACTCTGCGACGAGCTTCGTTCGGCGCCCGGACTTCGAGGCGGCGGACAATCGCGTCTACCATGACCGTGGAACAACGAGTTCTCTGGGAGGCTCCAGTTCTTCGGAACCGGTAGCTTTCAAGGCATGGTGGCGACTGACGAGCACCTGTCAGTCTCTCACATGACTGTGGGTCGGGCTGTCAGAGTTTTTGCGGCTGCCATCGTTTTTTCCTGTAATATTCGAAGAGGTACTAATAAGCTGGTATACAATTCAGAATGTTGGAAAACAAACAAGAACCGGGGTAATTCTCGGGTAGGGTCGAGTCTCCCGGCAGCCGGCAGAATTATTTGCCCGAAATTCTACTGCCAGTCGTCACTCATTGGCGGTCAAATCAGTTCATCGAACGAAATGTCATCGGCAGATCGTTTCATCGGCACGCGATGTAATAACATGAACAATATTTTCTTCAGTTAGAGGTATATACACATACACACACATACACATTCAACGTTTTCACACCTTTATACATGTAAGTGGGGTGTCCCATAAATAACCCCCTAATAAGTGTAGCAATAGACCTTATAAAAAAATGTAAACCTCACACCTTTAAAAATGTGTGATTTTGTAGACATGTTTCTTAAAACGTGTAATAATGCACTGCACCTTTTATAAAGATGTAAAACTACAATACCCCTTCTTGTCAGGCACGTAGCCAGGGGGGGGGGGGGGGGGGAGGCATTAAGACCCACCCGAAATCTTCCATTTGCTAAGGCCTCCTCTCCCCCCTCCCCCTCATAGAGAACTTTGTCATGCCCCCCCCCCCCCCCCCCCCCCTTAAACAAAATCCTGGCTACGTGCCTGCTTCTCGTCAAGATGTAATTACGACAGTACATTACTTTTTTGTGGTGTACACAGTTCACCCGGGACCCAATAAAATGACTGAACAAATAAATTACGCAAAACGAGTCGCCGAAGCAGCGCGTTGCTTCTTGGCGAGTGTCGAGGCAATTTCAGCCGAAAGCCGGCTTCAATATTGGCCGCATGTACGGTTCTGCGCCTCGTCCCGACATCCGGCAGGTATGGGTGTACCGATGCAAATAAACGATTTATGTCCAATAGCACTGGCACCACTGATTTCTTAGCAGGCTAGATCGCGGATAGAGGCCTGTATTGCTGGGGTCGAGCGGCACTACCGGCAGTCATCGCTTGACACGATTTAATGCATGCTATAGGGGAAACGGGAAAACTCAATTTTAGGCTGTTCTCGATAATGAAACTTCTATCGTGTTTCCGCAAATAACAGTTAATATTGTGGGCAAGAATATTAAACGCGTTAGAATACCAATCTTGTTTAAATAAATGTTGTGTGGTTGAGGGTCGAGGGAAACTTTGTTGGGCGTTAACTGTGATGTGTTTAATGAAACAAGGGCTACCGAGAGTTATTGTGGAGTCATCCGTGATCTCGGAGTCATCAGAGCTCAGCAAACAATAAGTTAGAAGGCCTTTGCTGGGGGAATTCGCATCGTTTTAACCGCTTGTCGTAGTACTTCATGGTGAAAGCTTTTTCTTTGAACTTCAGCGAGGGCTTCCGTGTCAAACTTTAACTCGGAGCGTGCAGTTCAGTCGCTGAACGTGCCATCTATTTAGCAACCGAAGCAAGCGACGTCGGTAAGATCGGTGATCGTCCGGGCAATTTTTTTTTTTAATTGATGTTCGAACGTTTGACGGATGTCTATCTGATCTCCAAGTACCCGTCATAATCATCGCAGCACGTCATAAAATACTCGCCCTCGAGCACCGCGTACAAGCTTCCAATTTTTGCGTGTTTCTCCCTTAGACTTGCGTGTATTGCCTCATGGTGTAATAGGCCAACACAACAAGGACTAAAACGAAGGGAGAACCAGACAGGACGCGGCGTATCCCCTGTTGTCAAGCAATTGCCGCGGGTGAGGACAGTGACAAGCTCCCGATCCGGAATCCAGACTTGCACTGTGAGAGTTCTAATGCATTGCACCCGCGGAATGCTGCACGGAGAACAGGCCCCGAACGAACTTGCCGAATGCACCGAGTGCAGACTGGTGCTGACGCCGTAGGAGTTGTAGAAAGGTACCGACCTCAAACCGAAACTAGCGCCTTTTTGTTCGACGTGATGGGTGGGAATGGGAGAGCGCCAGTCGCTGCCATCGTTTATCTATACACCGACACGCGGGCTTGACGTCACGGCGCTGCGGCGGCGCTGCGATCGCGCCGGAGCCGGGGGGTGTGGGCAAAAGCGCGCACGTTTCTCATGGGCGTCATAGCATTTCAGCATGCCGCGAAGCTGTGTTGCCCTTAATCTCACCGAAATGTGCAAGAAAAGTAGCGGAGTGAGCTTCTACATGTTCCCGGCAAACTCTGAAAGGCATAGAAGGTGGATAATATCCGTGGATCGAAAATTATGGTCACCTTGCGCGCAAACGACCGTTTGCGCGGCAACCACTTTCTTGGAGGCAAATGCGGCTTCCATTTCAATCTCCGTCCCGAGGCTTGCTTATGTGCAGGGAAACCGTCGTCTGATCGAGACCACCCGGATTTTGTTGCCACGGTGTTCACGCACAAAGCACCGGCCAAGCGCTCGTCGGAGGCTCGCTACGCCCATGCTACCAAGCAGGAGGGGATCGGCGGCAGAACGGCAGTGTTGTAGGCGTTACCGAAAAAAAGTAACGAAATACGTTACTCGTTACTTGCAAATGAAAGGTACGCGTTACTGAGCTACGTTGCCTAAAAATAAAATTAACGCGTTACCGCTACCGATAAAAAGTAACGCACGTTACTTCTGCGTTACTTTTTAAATTAAGATTTAAGACGTTTTACGGTTTCGACGTTACAGGTATGCATAAGCTCATATATCAAGAAACATTCTGTTCATGCAGAAACTGAACATAATTACTCTATCTTTTCTTACGGTTTCACCCAAATACTCACGAGAAAAAAACGCAAAGAAAAACATAGCTTGACGCCTAAAAACACGGAAAAAATTGAAGTGTAATTGTAGTAACGAGTAACGAAACTACGTTACTTGAAATAGTAACGTACGTACGTTACCAGTTACTGTGTCAAAAAAGTAACGAGTAAGTTACTACGTTACTGAAAAAACTAACGCGTTCCTGGTAACGCCGTTACTTGTAACGTGTTACCGCCAAGGCAGCAGAACGGACAAAGCGTTACTGCTTGTCATGCCTTGTGGTCATGAGAGTAGGAAGAATAGCATACCTTGACTTGAAGACGCTGTGTGCATTTATTTAATTAATAAATACACTTCCGCGGACCCACAGTCTGCTGATTTCGCCGGCAGTGCGGAAACCGAATCGAAGTAATCGTAGGCCTCGAGAGACTTGTACGCCTGCTCCGTGTCGGCCGTGAACCGGCTGAGCGAAAGAACTAAATAAACGACGACGTGAGCCGTCGACTTCGGTGGCAGCAACTTCACGTCGGAAGTCCAGCAGGCCTTGTTTACGGCGTACGGATCCTCGTAGGCAACGCCGTCCACTCACAGTTTGTCTCGATACCGCCGCCGTTCAGGCTCGGGTAGCGAGCTCAAATTGTCGGCCATAGCATTCGACATGCGTTGCCAGGAAACACGACTCACAAATAAAGCTAGAAGCGTCCCTACAACGTCAACAACGAGCGCACGCCACACAACGCAATGGCGAAAACACGGAGAGCCGGGTTGCTTTTGCCCACATAGCTACCGCGCATGCGCGGCCTTCCGGCCGTGTTGGTAAACAGAGCCGCTCCGCGTGTCGGTCTATAAACGTTGGTTGCTGCGACGTGTGACTTATATTTGCGATGACTTCCAATTAAGAAACTAGGCTGTCAGAGATATCTACAGACGGCGGAAGTTTCCGAAACTAGCTGACTAGAAAAGAGCATACACTTGAGAAAATTAATGGCACTGTACGCGCAAGAGCTTGCTTCATTTTAAGCATAGTATTATGAGTGAACCACTGAAAGGATGCGGCTTAAATCTAGTTCTTTGGAACATCTAACAATACGTTTCGTAAGACTTTTTATTTCCCTGGTAAGGGCATTGAGAACGACAGCTTTCTCAAACAAAATACGACGGGGCAAGATAGCTTCCGGTCAAATATGA